AGCACATTTGCCTGCGAGGCAGGGAACAGCAAAACTGTTGTACATGCAAAACTCAGGTCCAGGTAAAAGCCAAAAGTCCAAGCGGACGATTAACCGGGACCTTCCGCCGGAATTCACAGCCGGTGAACGAAAAAGAAGAAGAAGCAAAGATGCAAACCAAAATGAAAAGGTTATTCATAACAAAAGTAAACAGCTCGATCTGCTCTTTATCGTCTTTAGGTCCAACAATGTCTCTATTTCTTGAGTTCGAAAACTGTGTACCCACTCGGTTTGCAGTGTATAAAGGCGGGGCATTGAATATGAAGAAGATCAAGACACATGTTACACGAATCGCTGCATTGTAACGGGTGATAATACGTTTTACATCAAGACAAGCAACCGTTAAAGAGGGATTATTTTGAAGTTAAGAGAATGTTTTTATTTTGAAGTTGCTTTGAATGTACATATTTTAATGTGAAAAGTAAAGCAGCAGTTTACTATAGAAAAGGAAATAGTTTATACTGAAATGTAATGTTCTAACCATCAAAACATGATGCTTCGTACTCCTCTGGCTGCTTCAGCCATAAACACATCGTAGTGCTGTAGAGTTTCTCTGATGTTATTATCTAATATGTTTCTTGGTATACCCATTGACCTACACTGTTCTCATCTTTTGGTATATGCCTTAAAAGGTATAGCATCTAAAAGCATTCTCTCTAAAGGTGGGCAAGCCATTTGATTTGCTGTCTTTTTATCTAGTTTATAATTGGCTCTGTGCCGACTGTATCTCGTATGACCTTATTCCTCACTTGGTCCCTTCTGGTCACTCCAACAGTCTTTCTCAGTCACTCTATTTCTATGGTTACTACTCGTCTTTTATGTTTTGTTGTGAATGACCACGTCTGGCCATGATAGCTTAGGTTGGACCGAATATTCTTTGTATCAGATGCCTCTTTGTGCTGATAAGGATTGCCTTATCTGTAAGAGGAGGACTAGCTTCCCAGTACTTAGCCTGCCGAAGTGCATCGGATGTTTATTCCTTCGTCCAAATTACCATCTTTAGTGAATGTTGTTTCAAGATGGTAAAACTGAAATGCCTGTTTAATATATGTATGTTCTAATGCTATATTTAAATCTTGCTTCTTTCTTCCTACCCACATTACTTCTGTCATTTCGAGGTGGATTATCACATTATTTGATTTACATTCTTCATTTACGGATGAGAGATGCTGTTGTAAATTTATGGCTGTCTATACTAGATTTAGACATTCTTAAAATGATTAAATTATATTTCCTTGTTAATTTGCATATACATTGGTCAATAATAGTATGTGTATGTGCCTGCATATGTGTGTGTTTGCAGTATGTGTTTAAGGCAGTGCGTAAGTATGATGTTAGCCGAGTGATAGAACACTGAACTCTTATGCAGGAGGCCGATGTTTGAATCCTTGGTAGAGTAGTACAAGATTTTTGTTTTGGTCAGGGGCAAAAATTGGTATCTGAACCTGCACAGTTAGCCAAGTGGTAGCATACTGAACTATTATGCAGAAGGCCTATGTTCGAATCCTTGGTAAAGTGATAAGAACTACTTTTTTTTCTGTCAGGGGGCAAAAATTGGCATCTTAACATGCACAGTTCGAGGCGACTGCACTAGCTATGCGGCACTAAATCTTGTGATTATGAAACAATCCCCCTTTTCCCACCCCCCCCCCCACCATATTCTACACCCAAAAGTGGTAATACAGTGATTATTTTCAGCATAGTAAGTGGGTGTGAGCCGCCCTCGGTGTCATCAATATGGAGATGGCGGGATAGGAAAGACTAAAAGACAAGACTATGATTTTAAAAGGAATTAATAAATATGTATGTGCTCTGCGTGTGTGTGTGTGTATGTGTGTGTGTGTCTGTCTGTGCTGTGTATGCGGGCAACAGAGTGAAATGGGTGAAAAGGGGATGAGAGTTTTATGGACTGACACTATATTGTTTTTTTTTCTTATAGGAATTTGTTTCAAGATGCATAATAACAGTGAAACCCTGGCGGAGGTTATAAACATACATAATTGTTTGTGATTTAATTCTTTTCTCTGAGTTTGTAATTATTATTGAACCAGTAAAGTAACGGGTGTGTCTTTTTGTCAAAGATGTAACCTCACTGCCAAGCACTTAAACTTCAGTTTGGTTGTCAACGGTTTGCGTCCCCATAGCGGCATTGTTTTTTTTTTTTTTTTTCTAAAGTTAGTTTTTCATTTTAAGCAGTTCTAATACCTGAGATGGTCCTAAGTCAATACGTACACAATAAATATTATTCGAAGTGCACCCCACTAGACATTTACATAACTTAACGAATATCAATATACATATATGTGTTCACATATCCCGACTTTACCTTTTTTTTTTAAATGATATGATAAGAGGGGAACTGGAACAAATTGTGACCACCTGAGACATCTGTGTAAAGTAAGACTGAGGAAGACATCGCTATAAGATTCTTGACAGCCTTTTGTCAGGACATGCAGGTGTGTCAACACAAGTATTGAGACACACACACACAGAGTTGCGGATCGGATATTGTAGAGAGGCATGATCGCCAACACCCGTCGGCAAAGCATTAGATGATAGGAGAGAATATTTAATGCACACAGTATACTAAACATCTTTTTCGCTGGAGTGGATTGTTACTGTCCATATACACTTTAACACTGACCTTCAATGGAGCCACAATACTCAAACATCTCTCCATGCTTATCAAAGCAGTGATACAACCGCTGACACAGGCGAATGCGAAGTGTGGCATTGCAAATACCAGATAAGTGACTTCCGTGCTTTCAAATGGTAAATCTGAATCAATTACAGCTGGCGTTAAGAAGAGGCAGATCCCAAACTGCATCAAAAGGGCAATTAAATCAGAAACTGATAAACCTGAAAATATGCAAAGAGGTGTGGCTGTGAAATAAACAACATGATTTATGTTATGTTTAGTTACAATGTAGTAGCATCTTTTGAATCGAGTCGAATATGCATTACTGTGAGCTGCAGATTTTATGTAAAATCTGTTTATACCAGTTATGTTATGTGCAATGATCTGGGTTATCTTCACGGCACACCGGACACGTCCATAGATTTGCAGATTCCTCTTTTCATCTTATACATCATCGTCCCGCGGTTGATAGTCCCAGTCCCTTGTTCGATGACAAGACTTCTCGTGAGTCCGGTTTGCTTCTTGTGCCTGGCTTTGCTAATCTGTAGTCACAGTTCTTGCACTCTTAGCAAGATGTGGATGATTTTATATCAGTGTTTTCCAAAAGTTGTTTTGGGCGACTTGCCGCCTTTCAAAATTAATATCGCTCCCTTCCCAGTCTGCTTGCAATATGCACAATCATCATTTTGTGCAGATTGTCATAAATGGTCATATCTCGCCATCATACACGAACTTTGCTATTTGCCCCATTACTGTTCCCTTTTTTAATCAGTTTTGCATGTGTCAATAAATTCTCAACTTTTCTCCTTTCACAACCAGAACGATGCGATGAGAAATACAATTTATTTTCATTTCCCTATGTACCTTGTGGAGCGGCGTCCATGGATTAGGCGTTGCGAGTCCGACTCGTAATTCAGCGTACCACGATCGAAACCCACTGCTGGCTGCGTGGTTTTTTATTATGTTACGGGGCGTCGCAGGTCGACCCAATGTAAAATGGGTACCAGGATGGGATGTCCTGTGAAGGTAAAGACAGCCGGCGTAATGCTGACAACATTACCCACCGAGTGATGATGGTCTGTAAAAATATGGGCGATCTTCCCATATGCCCGATACGCTTAAAGGTGTGGAAAAGGATCTTTACTTTTTTTAATATGTTTTTTTGTGATGAGGTGCTTTGCGTGGTCTCCACACTCACAGAAAGTCGAGCAGAAAATCCGTGCGACAAACGACTGAACTAGAAGGGTGAACGATGGAAAGTCCGAGGTTGACTAGTGGTCAGTTGTCTACCAGAGTTGGAAGAGGACAGTCGAGATGTTGTCAAAGTAGTTTAAATGAAGTGTAGTCTACGTTGATAAATCATTAATGTGGCATAGTTGTGGAAGTGAACAGAGATGATTGTGGTTAAGTAACTATGATGGAATAGCAGAAATAAACTGGCAGAATGTATACTGAAATTCATTCGGCGTTTCAGTGTTGTCAAATGTTGAAATCTTTATTTGATCCAGAGTAAACGGGCTATATTAAAAGTGATCCAGCTCTCTTACGTACCTTCCTTCTTCCTCTTTCACGTAAATGACTTAAAAGATTACCAGCCTAAGTGCTTTCATTTAGACAGGCTGTGTCAGACACCAATGGTTTTAATATTATGTGCATTGGGACTGGCTAGTCAAATGTTTCTCACTGTGTTGGGCTATGTGGGAGTTCAAGGCTATAAGAGTGCAGATTAATTAGGGGACAATGAGACCATCATGACTGTCTGACAATAGTCAGGAGCAAGGTCATCGATGCCATGCGAATTGCACATTGGGAGACTGATGTAGCGATTAGAGAGACTGATTTAGCGATTAGGGAGACTGATAAAGCGATTAGGTAATATGATTTAACGATAAGGGAGAATAAAAAAGCTGTTAGGGCAACTGATATAACTACTGGGGCAATGGTATAGCGATTAGGGCGATGATATAACGATTAGAGCGATTATTTTGCGATGAGGGCGATGACATAGCGATTAGAGCGATGATATAGCGATGAGGGTGATGATATATCGATGAGTGCGATGATATAGCGATAATGGCGAGTAATATAGCGATTTGGGCGACTGATATAGTGATGAGGGTGACTGATATAGTGATGAGGGTGACTGATATAGTGATGAGGGTGACTGATATAGTGATGAGGGTGCCTGATATAGTGATGAGGGTGACTGATATAGTGATGAGGGCGACTGATATAGTGATGAAGGTGACTGACATATTGATTAGGGCGACTGATATAGTGATGCGGGTGACTGATATAGTGATGAAAGTGACTGATATATTGATTAGGGCGACTTATATAGCGAAGATGGCGACTGATATAGTGATGAAGGTGACTGATATAGTGATGAGGGCGACTGATATAGTGATGAGGGCGACTGATATAGTGATGATGATGACTGATAAAGTGATGAAGGCGACTGATATAGTGATGAAGGCGACTGATACAGTGATGAGGGCGACTGATACAGTGATGAGGGCGACTGATACAGTGATGAGGGCGACTGATACAGTGATGAGGGCGACTGATACAGTGATGAGGGCGACTGATACAGTGATGAGGGCGACTGATACAGTGATGAGGGCGACTGATACAGTGATGAGGGCGACTGATATAGTGATGAGGGCGACCTATATAGCACTAAGGGCGACATTCAGGAGGGTCAAATATAAACTACTCAGTATGCACAAGGTACACATATTATAATTCCGAAACGTCTTATTGATCTCTAGAATGCAACACTCTGAATTGCTTCATCCGAACACGCACACGAATCGAGATAAATATTGTTAACCAAAAATAATGTAGACAATAGTAAAAAAGCGAACTCTCGGAGTGTGAAAAAATAAATAATCGTATCTCCGTTCTTAAAATGTCCTTAAAATCAAGTATGATTTACAAAAAAAAAATCAATCGCGACTAATTATGGACAGCTCGAAAAAGAGTCACGATTATTAAAATTTCATATATATATATATATATTAGGGCTGTACCGAATAGTGATTTTCACTATTCGGCTAATACGAATACGAATAGTATATAGTGTGTAAGATATATCTTTATTTAATAAAAAACATTCATAATGTCAAATGTACGCTGAACGTTTACTTCACATGAAGTAGAACAGACTAGTCATCTTCTTCTTAAGCTTTCTCAGCCCTTGAGGTTTACTGCTGCAGATATCACTCGTCTCCATTCATCTCTCTGGCTGGTCTTCTCTTCACAATTTGTGACACCAGTTGTTTGCTGGTCTGGCTGGAAATTATCTCTCGAACTTCTTTGTTGTCTGCCTCGTGGTCTACGACCATTCATCTCCCTCGCTTATACAGTTTTACTTCTCTGCCATCTGACATTCTTTCAAAATGTCCCAACAATTTTAGTCTGTCAGCTCTCATGATGCCAATGATTGACGGTGATTTTTCACTCTCCATTACCCGCTGTTAGCATCTTTGATGGGTCCAAAGATTGATCTTGTTTTCGAAAACCTGTAATAAGGCCCATCTCTTTTATTTCTGCTTCAAGTTTCAGAGCCATATAAAACGACAGGTCTTATTAACGTTTTATACATTTTGATTTTGGTGTTGCGAGACAGACACTTTGACTTCAGCAGATGTTGAAGGGCATAGTATACTGTATTTCTAGAATGTATTCTAAATTGTATTTCTTCTCTCAGCTTGTTGGAGCAGTTAAAGTTTGCACCTAGGTGCTTATGTTTCCGTTCGTATGATTTTCATATCGACTTAGATGTGGCCGGAGTTTATATTCTTTCCATGTCTAGTTAGTATTCGTACAGAATAGTAAACATTTAAAAACATTTTATGTTTTGCATCCTTCAGTTAGTCTGTGATAACTAATAACTAGGAAGGAAAGAATCTTAAGTATTATAATAAGTAACTACACTTGGAAGTTGTCACTAACAGCTTTGTTAATGCATGAAAACTGCATAAGCTTTCAACAAAACTTATCGTTCCATGTTGCCAATATTAAAGAGCGGATGTAAGAAACAATGTGATTACAAGAACTATTGGAACCATACCCATCGTTAAATTTATTGAGAAGCAAAGAATGAAATGGTTTGGTCACCTAATGAGAATGGAACAAACGATGCCAGCATCAAGAGCATACAACATGGAAATCGAAACACCAAGAGGCAGGGGAAGAGCAAGAAGAATATGGATTGAAGGAGTCACTGACAACTTGAGACTTCATAACATCACGGCATATGAAGCGTCTGAGCGCGCCCTGGCTCGGTTGCCGATCATCTGATAGACTGCGACGCCTAGCGGCACAAGCAGATTTTGACACAAAAAAAGAAAGTAAGCTAACTACTATTCGTATTCGCCCCGACCGCAACTATTCGGCCGAATACCGAATAAGTCAAAAGGTCCACTAATCGGCCCAGAAGCGAATACGAAGCAAATATTCGGTACAGCCCTTATATATATATATATATATATATATATATTAATATATATATATATATATATATATTATCTATATATATATATATATATATATATATATATATATATATATATATATAATATATATATATATATAGTATATATATATATATATCTATATATATAAATTCAAATGTCAGACATGCTGTCTGCAAAATAAAATTAAATATGAAAACCCCAAATATCGGTTGCACTGTATTCATTATAGCAAGTATCGCTGACAACACTCTAGTGGCTTGAAAGTGGTAACTGTTGATAGGTCTGGATTTGGGATATAAAAAGCTGTGTCCTTCTTTGTTTAAATTCGAAAACCTAGCTAGACCTTGCACAACGTGAGCAGAGAATGGCCGCTGAGGACATTTCTGAAGAAGCAGATATGGCCCTTAAGAGTATTTCTAAATGCTGGAGAAATAAATGTGCAACACCCAGCGCATCCTACGGCTCTATCACATCAAACTCAGAAAAATAAAAAAGATATTTTTAAAGCCACTGAAACAACTGGATCAGCTTTCGAATACTTGGCTGACACATTTCGTAGACTTAACGAATTGAATATTAAAGTGACACAATTGTGTTTCTGGCCAGCAGACGAAGAGCTCTTTAGAGACAAGATGATATGCAATCTGTCGAAAGAAAACCAGCGAAAAGCTTGGAATGCGTTTCATCTGGTGACAATTAAATTTCTTGGGAATATCAGAGCTGCAGTATACAAGGAGCTGATTAAGGACAATATGTCTTAGTTTCGTATTCTTGGCTAAAGTGTGTATTTAAACAGTATCCACTTTCTCCATTTTAGCTTGAAGTTCAGCACCAGTAGCTGTGGCGTAGTTAGTGGTGTCACCATAACATTGCTACAATGGAGAAACAACACCAAGGAAACTCAGCCACTTCTACGCTAGAGCTGACTAAAGCTGGTCACTCGTAAAAGACATTCTGAGCACCTACACAGACGTCAGGCAAAGTGAAGCAGGAAATAGAAGCGGTCTTGCAACTATTCGTGTCGATTCTCTCTCTCTCATAGAATATACACTGGCAATTCTAACTCTCGCGGGTCGCCGTGGGAAAGTGATCAAACCATTCGCCTCGCGCACTGAAGGTCGCGGGCTCGCTATACGGAGGCGCTGTTCACTTTACCTCCTTGTCCATGATATTCTGATAATCTTTCTGTAATATGTCAGCTAAAAAGCCACTGTTTTCTTCCTTAAGGACTGGCAGTTAGGTCCATGGCTAATAGTCTTCATTAATCAGTAACTATACTCACGGTGTTTCCAGCATCTTTCGACCTAATAAGATTGATCGTTATTAAAAGACAGCAAACATTTATTATTAATAACAATTAAACGTATGTCCAAAAGTGAGTATTGCACAATCCATCCATACATGAAAGGCTTATGTTGGTTGGCTCTTTAAAACCTTGCTTCACAAAACAGATGATGTTGATAATATTTGTTACGACACCAAATAAATTTATTATTTGACATAGAACAGAGTACAAAATCCAGGTGCAAATCTTAGTTGTTCTATCATCTAGAAAAAATGTCAAAGTAAAATGTGAAATGTGCGACTGATTTTCGTGTCTAGCCATGTCATAATGTGTAGTCTCTGTGCTATAACACTAAGATATATTCGTTTGTGACAAAGACCCAATACATAGCCTACAAACAAACAAGCACATAGACACAACTGAAGAATCTCAGGAGAGTTATAGGTAAAAAAGAAATATATTTGCTAACTAACAAGTTACTTTGCTTTGTCAAACCTTTAAACACTAAGAAGTGACATTAGGATAAATACAATACTCTTATAATAACATGCGGTTTGACTTCAAATATCCAATTAAAAAAACACGAATGCCAGTAAAAGGCATTGTTTAAGAAATGCCCCCGCCCCCTGTAATTTTTGCCCCCTTTCCTGCATCTGCTTTTTGAAAAATATTTTTTTTTTTTTGCATAACCCAGAGGCACATATTTTTTTTTTCTCGAAAACGGTACCATATTCACTGCTACTGTATTTAGCAGTACACACAATTATGTACTAAACACAGAGCATACACAACACTCACTATGTCAAAGCAGCGAAACGTACACATAAGTGATATTATTAGGTAAACAGCGATTATTTTTATGACTGTAATAGCAGGTATAGTATGTGAATCCCTGGCACGCTAGCTAAGTTGGTTAAACCAGTTTCACGGATCCAGGGTAGGCAATAACGCCACTTATTTCAAAGATATACAGTATCTATCACGGAATCATGATAGTTCAACACGTTCAACAAGAAGTTCACCAAAAGATCCATGACAATTCCCACCCAAGAGATGTGATTATCTATACAGATGATACCACAAAGTTTAGCTTAAGAATGGAGGTGTAGGCAGTCACTGCTGCATTCCGCTCGCTTGAGAATCAGCTGTACACACATGCCGTGATTGTAACTGGCACACAGCGCACGTTTAGAAAGGTGTAGACAGGTATGCTCCGTACATAGTGGCAAGCATCACTTCAGAGGTCCCGAGAAGTTAGCATCATTTGGATATCTCTCCAGGTCATGCAGGTGTGTTGGTAATGACAAAAAATCATTACAAAAATTTAAAAAATAAACCTGTTTACACAAAGGTGTGTTCACCATTTTTCTAGTCCAAGATACCTTCATCAAAACAGTTGTATTATTATTAATGTGTGTGAGTGTGTGTGTGTGTGGTGGGGGAGAGGAAATGCTTATTTTGTTGCGCATTACTATTTAGTTTTACTTCTTTCCAGTACCATTCATGGGTAATTATCATTTTTTTTAATTTAACTACTGTTTATTCTTGCTATTGTTATTTATTATAGCTGTTTATTATATGACTTTTTCCGAGTCTTTCCTTTTTTGTTTAATTTAATTTTTTGCATTCCATTTCGCCTTTTTAAAAAAAATAGTTTCCCACGTTTAAGTTAATGGTTAGAGTACCGTCCCCTGTGTAGTCAGTTAATTTTCATAAAGGTCCCAGCCAAACGTCATTGTGTGTGTGCCTCTGTGTGTGCGTGTGTGTGTTTGTGTGTGCTTTCCTATTTAGTAACGTTTTTTTAGTCAGCGAACACTGGAATAATTTATTAGTATTAGTTTGACTGCCAGGTTATACTTGTGTCTTGGGCATCATCTAGACTTCTTTTCCAGGTTATACTGGTGGATTGTGCG